TGGGTGAAAAACCTTTAACTCCAGACTAGCTGCATCACATCGTAAAAAATAAAAATGAAAATAGGAAGGTACAGAACGGGATTCGAACCCGTGACATGAAGGACGCAGGGGGAAAAGAACCAAAACAAAAGGGCGCTTTGGGAGAGCCTCTACCTGCTACGCCACGAGCTGGCACGCTTTAACCGACGCACGCGTCCTCCGAGTTCTCGCACGATTCACGGAAACGACCGCCGCGGACGGGGGATCAAACGTTTGTCTGAAACAAGTCGATCGATCGCCGTTTTTGAACCCACAAGGGCTCAACTTTGCAAATTCTCAAACGCGGGATATTTGCCGACGTCGCCCCCTGGTTTCCTCCTGCTCGATTTTTGTTTTGTTTTTTCCCCTAACACCGGAAGCATCTTTAAAAGATGCAGCTCATCACGCTGGTCTCGTGTCCATCAAGTTATCTTTGAAGTTTTTCCACACTTCCACATTGGAGCTCCACCACGCCTGTGCTCGCCGATATGCCTCTTAGCAACACATCGTGTTATGACTCGGTCACAAAGGCTTTAGAGAGCGCTCCGCACCAATTCGAGCGCGGGCCCGATGGTCACCGATATGCAAGTATTTATGGCCCGCGCGATTTGATCGTTTCGTAATCAGACCGCGAGCGGGAGGACAGCCGGGCGCCCGCACGGGGTTCGTCTCCAAAATGCCGGCTAGCAACGCGCGACACATGCTAACGCGCATCCGATGTCGGTGTGCACATCAAGGCGGCTTCACGCGCGCTCGAGGGCCCCGGTTGAACACAAGACGGGACCGACCAGAGGCGTGTGACACGATGCGGATCCGCCGGAAGGAGCGCGCTTGAGGAAAAGTCGAACGAAATTGTCAAGAAGTTTGGTTGATGGCGACGCGCAGCTTCTTTCTTCACTTCGGACCCCCCAAAAAAAATGGCGCCGCCGCAGGCCTCCGCGCACGGGGTCTTCTCGAGTGGCTGGCACGGGCTGTCGCTGCTGCTCGCTCGTCCTACTACTTCCGGTTCTCAACAAAATACTCGGAAGCGTTCAGTCACGCCTTCATCCGTTCTCAACCGAATCACTCACGAGCTGCCGCTCGTTCGCCATTTTTACATTCGATCAAAACGGGAAGGGAACTCCGGTTCCCCGATAGCCGCCGCCTGCCTCTTTTCGATCTCTCCCGACTCTAACACACCGGATTCGTGTGATCGTGAAGCTTGCTGATGAGCTCGTCGTTTGAATCGGGTGCGGTGGAGTCGGGAGAGATCGAAAATAGGCAGCAGATGGCTCTCGAGAAACCCGAGTTCCCGACCGCTGCTTTAAAAGCTTTGTTTGTTTGTTTGTTTGATTTTTACTGAATGTTGTACTTGACCAGAAACCAGAAATGGAACATTTGTGCGCTCGAAAGAAATCCAAATACGTTCTAATCCAAATACCAATCCACCTTTTTTTTAATTAAACGTCAGCAAATAGCAAGTGCGCTACTGTTAAATTAGCAGAAGAAACGTCAAAATGCAGCTGTTATCAAAGCGCTATATAAATCTGAATGTACTGTATTGTATTGGAAAACATCCATCCATCCATGCACGAAACCGCTGAATCCTCTCGTGCTGGAGCCCATCTCAGCCTTTTTTGGGCAGTAGACTAGTGATGGGAATTCCGGCTCTTTTTAGAGGGCCGGTTCTTTTGGCTCGGCTCACTAAAAAGAGCCGGCGCTTTCGGCTCCCAAATGGCTCCTCAGTTTTTTTGTTGCTTAAATTAATTTACTCCCAAAAATAATGTAAAATTATGTGTAAAATGAATTACGAATGTAAAAAATGTACACTATATCAAATATTTTTTATTTATATGGCTTTATATTCTTCTGAACATACTCAACATGGCGTACAACATGGAGTGCTACAAAAAATAAATTACAAAGTACAAAAACAAAGACCCATCTCAAAACAAGGTCAACAAAAAGTTCCAATCTCTGATTGTGTATATTTATAAGCGTTTAACTATTTACAGTAAAACAACATAAGTAAGCTTTGATTACCACACAACAAATTATAAATTAAAATTTGATATTGGATATTTTAACCTTGCCCAGTCTACACGCTGCCTTTGAACTATCAATTAAGTTGAAATCAGTCCAAATTTCATTGCGTTTCCTATCCATTTTCTCACCTTTCCACTTTCCACCGTGTAGTTTTTTTCTCTGTACTGTAGCGCTATCGAGCTCTCTCTCGTCTCCCTGTCTCTCCTGTTCGTGCTGCTCACAGTGTGCTGCTGTCTCTCTAACTCCTCCCCCTTCTCTTCACTGAAGCGCGTGTGTGTGTGTGTGTGTGTAAAACCCTCCCCTCCCTCTTCTACCACGGATCTTGACCAATCACGTGCGGCTTTAACCGAAAGGGGGGAAAAAAAACTGGAGAAAAAAAAAGTCGGCTCCCATAAAGAGCGGCTCCCGATGAGGAGCCGGCTCCTGTCGTTCACTTCAAAGAGCCGGCTCTAAGAGCCGGTTCGTTCGCGAACGACACATCACTACAGTAGACACCCGCAAGTGGTTGCCCGCCAATCGCAAAGACACACATTGGCACTCACCGTCACACCTATGGAACATTTAGAGTCATCAATTAAGCTACTGCATGTTTTTGAAATGTGTGAGGAAACCGGAGTACCCGGAGAAAACCCACGCAGGCAAGTGGAGCCTACGCAAAACAGGCAAGGCCGTCATCGAACCCATGACTTCTGCACTGTGAGACGGACCTGCTAACCAGTCGCCCGCCGTGCCGCCAGCGTCAAAACGGAGGAAACAAAATACTGGAACGTGTTTTATATTTTTAACGTCACGAGACGACGGCGAAAATGTGCCGAACTCGTGTTGCGTGTGTGTGTGTTGAGAAGTGTTGACGAGTGACGTCCCAATGAAGTCGGGGGCGTTTTTACCCCCTACCTCCGCAACTCGGAGCTTCCGGTTCAAAGAGGCGTTCTCGTGCAATTTTCTAACTCGCAAAATTCCGACTTGCCACTGTCCGCGAATGCAGCATCAGTCTACGTCAGGAGATCCTCGTCTTGCCATTGGCTGAGTGCGAAATTCAAACACAAAACAGAAAGGCGTCCGCAACTGTTTGTTCGACGAGCAACTTCAGAGGGAAAGGAAGATAGACATTTTGTTTTCGTATTTGATTTTTATTCACACATACACACATATATTATATTTATTTGCCCATATATAATACCCGACATCAAGAAAATGGACGTGGCCTCCTGTTTACAGTAAGTCAGACGGTGTGCGAGTTATCGAGACACACAACTTATTTTCGTCGTTTGTACTTGTTGATACCGGTTTGTCGTTTTTTGTTTGGTTTTTTTGCTCTCACGGGTTTTGACTTATGAACGACGCATTCGCCCGGGCGAAAAGGGTGTGCAAAGTTTGTGCTGTAAAAAGTGACGTGACGCTTTCCCTCAAATCGCAGGAGTTCGTCTCCTGGTTGCGTGGTTGGCTCCGGCATTGTTGTGACACTTGGTGGCCGCAACTCTTCGTACCTCTTGCTTCAACCCCGTCGTGTTTGAATTCTCCTATGCAGCGCATCAAGACTTAGATCGGGCATTTGCACTATCATGAGCTGGACAGTTCATAATATCCTGCCGCAATCACAGTTTTAGTCTGTTTATGGATGTATTTGTTTTCAATAGGCCTCCAAACCCATTTTTAATAGCTCAAAATGGCACAAAGGTGCGATCCGCATGAACGAAGCAGAAACGACGTACCTACTAAAACGGAGTTTTCCTTTGCGCAGCTGTCCATACGTTGTCATCCCGCATTATGAATAACTGCCATGTGTGAACGTCCTTGGACAGGGTCTTTGAAAGCAGTTTCAGCTCGTACACGGGAGATGACCCCTTGGATGTGTGGCTCAAGTGAGTCTCGGCGCTTCTCATTTCGTGGCACACCAGCAGCTCAGCTCAGCTCAACTAACAGCACAACACTCATTGGCGCATTTTTTTTTTCTTCCTCTTCTTTTTCTTCTTCCGTCTGTTCACTGTTTGCACTTGGCAGGTTTGTGGACTACTTGGACCAAAGTTTACCTGAAGCCGGCAGCAGTGAAATGTCGGTGGTGCTCGACAGGCTGGTGCAGAACTTTGTCGATGTGGAGCGATACGCCGACGATGCCCGCTTTGTCAACGCGTGCATCAGATGCGTAAGCGCGTCCGTCCACTCGCTGTGTTGTTGTGTCTGCGTGTGACGAGGTTCGAGTCGAGGCAACTTCATTTTTATCACCCTGTAAGACCCTGCAAACTGCTTCTGAAGGCTAGAAAGATGTTTCAAGACAAGTCCCGAAAATGGGACCGACTTCATGCTATCCCCCGCGAGCCGCCGCCGTCGTCGTCCGATAAGTCACCGGCCGGCCCCTTGTCCGAGCGGGAGGCGGGGCCCAGAAGCAATACTAAGACGGGCAAAACGTCCGAACGGCGGCGGGGCGGGGCGCGGCGAGCCACTCGTCGCACGCAAGGCGCGAGAGCGTCCGACTAAGTGCTAAGCGGGCGGGGCCCTCCTCAGCCAGCGGACCGGACGCCGCGGAGAAAGCGCTCTCAGGGACCTCTGTTGTTGACAGGCCACGTACTACCCGGAGCCCGTCGCCTTGTTCCGTCACCTCTTCAGTAAAGGCGTGGGCACCAGGACGGCGGCGCTCTACGTGGCTTGGGCTCGGCGCTTTGAGCGCAAAGCGATGACGGAGGAAGCGGACGCTGTTTACCGCAAAGCTGTGGAGAACCGAGCCCGCCCCGCCGAAAGCCTCATGCAAGAGTACAGGTCAGAGCCCGCGCGAGTATCTCGCGCCGCGGGAGAGCGAGAGCGCTCGAGCCTTCCGGAGATCGAAAATTCTGCCTGCGATCCCTCAGGCGGTTTCGGGCCAGAAGCAGAAGCCGGGAAAAGGTGTCGGGAGGTGAGTGGTCGCGGGCGGCTTTTCCCCCTCGCGCGTCTCGTCGCCCGCCGCTGACGTCGTGCCGCCGGATGCGCTGCAGGCGTCGCCGAGCGGCCGTCCGAGTCCATGTACTCCAAGGACGCGCTGGCGTCGGAAGGATCCGAGCTGTGCTTCGAGGAAGCGCGGGCGCGGACGTACTTGCGGAAGAGGACGCTGAAGCGGGAGGCCGAGGAGCGGCTGAGACGTAAGCGCGGAGGGGAGGGGAGTGGAGGGCTCGCCCGCCGCCGCTGACCCCTGATGTCCTGTTGTCGCACCTGAAGTGGAGCGTTTACTGAGGGAGGACGAGGAGGCCGTGGCCAGCCTGCGGCGCCAACTCCGCCACATGGGCAGGACGCTGAAGGTGAGCCCGCTCATCCGCTCCCCGATGCCACCGCATCACATGTCGGAGGAGGAGGGGGGACGGGGGCGGCCTCCCTCCTTTCTCTTTTTCCTCTCCGTCCGTCTATTGAGGCCCAACGTCTCTCCGTGATCCATCACCGTCTCTCTGTGAGCCTATCCGTCTCTTTCGCTTTTTTTTTTTTTTTGCCCCTCCCCACCTGTCTTTCCATCTGCATTTCGAGAGTCATGCAGTGTGACGATATGTTGGATCGTTGATTGATGGATGGAGTAATGCGACGAATGACGGGATTTCTTTTGTAATGGAGCAACCAACCGGCAAGCCAGCATTTTCCAAAATATTTGCAACCGTGTTGCACGGAGTCGTTTGGTTTGTCTGCCGTGACACGGTCGCGCCCTTTGAGGGCGAGCGTCCCGCCGATGTGGCTTTGACAGCCTCGCTCTCTTTTCCGCCTCTCCGTTGCCCGTCTCTCTGATCTGATGCGCGCCGGCCGCCGGGCGGGCCGCGGGCTGAGGGCGACGCCGACTCTGCTTTTGTTTCCCCAGATGTCCGCCGCAGGAAGCGTCTCGGGCCGCCCTCCCCGCGAGGAAGGCCGCGGCGGATCGCCGGCCCGGGGCGACCTCAATGGTGACTTGCGCGCGCACTCAAAGTCACGCCGATCCTGCCGAGACCCCCCCGAGTCCAAGCCCTCTCGCGTTGCCGTGTGTCTGTCAGCGGCACAGGCCGGCGCGCTCGACGCACCCAACAACTCGCCGGGCTGCCCGCACGCCGCTCCGTCGCACGTGCCGCCGTCGCCCACCGTCAACACGCGCGAGGCCCTGGGTGAGCGCCTCTCCTTTGCCCGCCAAACCGTTGAAGCAAAAAACGTTTCCTGCTTTACATTTGAATGAATGATGTCATGGCTGCATGGGTTTTTTTTTTCCATAAAGTACAATATTATTTCCCTTATGAAAAACAAAAAGGCACATTGAAAGACGGTGCGTTGCAGATATGATCATGGGAATGTTCCAGGCGCCCGCGCTGACCGAGGCCTCCTCGGGTGACACGTCAGCGTTCGTCGCCGGCGGGAACCCGTCGGATGATGCAAACGGTGAGTTGGCGGCTCCTGCTGCTTCATGGCATCAGAAGAGCGTTTCTTTCAAAAGGCATTTGTTCTTTTCATTTGGACCCGAACCTCTGCCTTCTCCTCGCACATTTTGCAAGCATTTCTGTCCCGTGATGCAATGCTTGGTCAAACGGCACTTTCGAAGAATTTGATGGCATGTCGTGGGGCAACTTGAAAGTCTCACTTGTCCCGGAGCCTCTCCCGGCCGTCTCCGGACAGACGGCGGGGGACACCCTGAACCGGTTGCCGGCCCATCGCGGGACACGTGTAGACGAGCGACCATTTGCGCTCACACTCACGCCTCAATTGAGTGTGTTTCATGACCCTGCCGTGCCTGTTCTTGGAATTTGGGAGGAGAGCGGAGTACCCGGAGAAAACCCACGCGGGCCAACATGCGAAAACTCGACACAGGCAGGCCGGGGCCCGGCGTAGGGGTGGACGTGGCCACCAGTTGACCACCGTGGCATCCCACTTAAAAACCCCGAAACACAATGGCTTATAAATGTGCGAAATCGGGGCGGAGCGGTGCGTCAAACCTTTGCCTTCCTCTGCTGCCACTTCCTGCCTCACAGGCTCCGACCCGCCGGGCATTTCCGGCGCCGCGGGACCCTTCACCGTGTACCAAGATGACGCCAGGTCAGTCGGCAGATGACAAAATGTCTCATCGCTGTCGTCCTTCGAGTCAAGTGAACTTTTGTGTGCTGGTCTGTTTTGAATTTTGGGGGCAAAAACACGGTGTCGTTTGTGCGCGTGCGCAGCGCCACCGCTTGCGGCACGCTGAGCAAGAGCAGGGCCACGCGAGGCCGAGGCT